ATAAAACAATGGTATATAGTGCTTTTATCTTGTTTTGATCTAAGCATCCTTTCTTCCACAGGCAGATGCCTTATAGCAAAGGAGCTGCTCAGGACAAGGTATCCTCACACCCCCTCGCCCTGCCCCTTCCCTCAGCTTTACCGCACAGCCTGAGCCTGGAGTCTGGTTCAGTACAAAAGATAGAGGCTTTGGAGTAAAAAAAAAAAACACCTGGTCTTTGTCCTGATCTGTGAGATCGCATATGAACTACTTAATCTCCTCTCAAGCCTCAGTGTCCTCATATGCAGAACAGGAATGAATTTTTTGGAGATTACATAATTTACATAATGCATCAAACTATGTTGGCAGCAGTAGTACTCAGTAAACACTGACTCCCTTCTCCTTGTGCTTCTCTCCAGAGAAAGCACATGACAAAGATTAGGCGAGAAAGAAGATAAAATCAGTTTTAATGCATTAAAAATATTAAATCAGTTTAACACATTAAGAACAATAAAATCAGTTTAACATATTAAAAATGTAAAAAGAATTATCTACAAAATGTTCAATTCCTAAGTGAATAATTCACTATTGTTTACCAAACCTCTTAAATACTAGAAATCCTCTTAGTGCTGGGTATCAGTAGGGGAAAATCTCAAAAGCTTACGAAAGGGCGCTTTGAGTCCTGTTGGACTTAGCTTACTCTCAGTTAAGAAATCTTAAATTCTCATTAGTGATAAGAGTCTCGCTACCCTTGCTACAATGTATAAATGGGTGTGTCCCTTTTTATAATGTTAAAAGAAGAATTGTTTTCAACAAGTTTGAATTAATTAATAATAATACATTTCAAAAACTAGCAGCCAGAGTTACATGTTCTATCTTGCTCCTGGTCACTGGCAGGGTAAAGAAATCACAGATTTGACTCAAGGGATATTTTTCAGTAACTCCATAAGGTAATTTTCCACATATACCAAGTTTCACTTTCAGGGCTCTGAATGGCCACATCTGCTGCGTGACAGGTAAGTGACACCCACATAGCCTCAGTACTCGAAAGTACCATGGACTCAGCCTCAGCACCCCTGAAAACATGTGAGATATGCAAACAAACAGGCTCACGAGACCTACAGAATCAGATTCTGTATAATATAGTATTATATTAGAATCAGAATCAATAATACAGTTTGACAAGATCCCCAGGTGGTTCACAGGCCCACAGAAGTCTAAGAAGCAGTGCTATCCAGGGAGTGCTCTGAACGAAGAAATCAACAAATCAACAAAATGTACTGCTTTCCCCTCAGGGAGCTGAGGCTGCAGCAACGCTCTCATTACAACACCAACTGTGCCGGGAAATCGGCCCGCTGCTCACTAATGCAGGCCTCACCAGGGTCATCTGAGACTATCAGAGATGGCTGCTTACAACATGCCCGTTGAAAAGCTTCCAGAACTCCTACTCTTGGGCATAAGATTGTGAGAATCAGCACTGGCTCCTACCAAAGCCACTGATAACAGCGATCAGGTCAGCTCGCTCCTGAATGAGCCCCTCCCTGTGGAGAGTACAACTTTGTAGGGCTACTCTGGCCCCTTCCCTGCAAGAAGATGGAGTTAAGCTAGATCTGTGCTTCCAATTTATGCTTAATAAAGCCCGTATAGTGGCAGAGGAAACGAGGAGGAGGAACATATTTGAGAACACCGAGGCGACCATTCAGTTGAAAAGCTTTGGAGTCAGATAGGCCTGGCTGGGAAGCCCGGCTCCACCACTCTTCAGTGGGGTCACGGGCTTCTTTCCTTACCTGTAAGTGGGAAACTGCCCCTTCCACTGTAGAGTCACGCTCTAAGTCATCCATCTATTGTTTTCTGAGTGCCTAAGCTATGCAAGGAGCTGAGACTATGACTGCACTGGCAGCCCAGAGAGCCCAGGGAAGGCAATCGAGTTAACAGGCAGCTTCAGTTGAGGTAGCCAGGACCATGACAGGGAGGTCTAGGGTGCCTGGGTTTTCCCCATGAGGGGCACCTGACTCACAACTGGGGGCTTCAGACAGGGCTGCATGAAAAGTATCTAAGCTGAGAACTGACCGCTAAAAGGAACCAGTCAGGTGGAGGGGATGGGGGGAGGCAGGGACAAGAGAACAAGTGAGAGGGAGGCCAGAATACAAGTGGACAAGGTACAGAAAACCAGGCTCAGAAGCCCCATTCAGGGGCCAGGACTTCACCCTGAGAACAGTCAAACCACGGGATGGTGTTAAGATTCTGATCAGGGCACGACATCATAGGCTTACATTTGAACCACGGGAGGGTGTTAAGGTTCTGATCAGGGCATGACATCATAGGCTTACATTTGAACCACTAAAGGGTGAAGGTTCTGACCTGATGGGGCGGGACACAATAGGCTTGCATTTTATAAGGGATAGTGAGGCACAGAGTCAGCTACTGCACAGAGAGCCTTTAGTAAACATTTAGTTCCTTTTATTTTGTCTCTCTAGCTGGGTAGAAATAACAGCATTCTGAAGCTATTATGAAATCAATCAACCCAAAAGAATAAGATACTCTCCTCTTTCCTATTAGCAAAGTCACATCACACATCCGTTTGTTGTGTCAGAGAGAACAGTCACCTGGGGATGTGAATATGGCTTTCTGTTTGTCAGTGGTGTATGACTAACAACCAAGAATCATACATTCTCTTAATTTAAACAAGCAACCAGAGAGAAAGAGCTATGTGATTCTAAGAACTCAAGTAATTCCTTTATTAAAAATTCCAGTTTTCAATGCTCTCTTGAAAATATCCTAACACTTATTTCCTACATTGGACTACTTTATAAACCATTCTGAGGCTACACTGGGATTTAAAAGTCACTTAACTGCAAATTTTCATTGTCACTAAAAAGCATCTGACAAAAGACCAGTCCTATTTAGAATTTTGTCAAAGGAAATGTAGAGAAACTTCCAGATACTAAAATAACTTGTCATCTCTATTTTTTTTTTTTTTTTGTAGAGACAGAGTCTCACCTTATCTCTCTCAGTAGAGTGCCCTGGCATTGCATAGCTCACAGCAACCTCCAACTCCTGGGCTTAGGCGATTCTCTTGCCTCAGCCTCCTGAGAAGCTGGGACTACAGGCACCCTCCACAATACCCCGCTGTCTTTTTTTTTGCAGTTTGGCCAGGGCTGGGTTCAAACCCACCACCCTGGGTATATGGGGCCGGCACCCTACCCACTGAGCCACAGGCATTGCCCAACTTAGCAAATACTTTATTCTTTATCCTTTCCAGCTAAGAGGCCCACTGCATAATTGGCAGTAGAATTAATAACAGCTAGTTTTTGGCAAAATTCTCTATTTTGAAAATGTTCTATAATCACCAAAACAGTATGCCCAGGTGTAACTCACTAAATAATTCATTTTACTTCATTTTAGCTTTGGAATAAAATAAATATTTTGTTGACTAGATCAGAATGAGAGCAATCATAAGGGGGTCTTATGATTTATAAAAATCCCATAAATAAGATTCTTTCTAGAGACCAGCACAACATACATTGTGATTTTTCACTACCATGAACTTTTTTTTCTTTTTTTTCTCTTAGTAATCTCACTTCTGGGGTATCTAACCATGGATTCTTTCTTCATTTATATATAGCACAATAAAGAAGTCATCACAGATTAGGCCTAACTCACCTGAGCATCTTGTTCAACTTGAGCTTCATCAATTCCAGCATCAGGGTCTCTATTAGCCTATAAGAGATAATGTCACATTACTGAACGATAAAGTATTTCATTCAAAAGGAAATAGGGTTCCACCTGATGCTTATGCATATAAAGCTCTTTCTCTAGGAATAATAGGGTTTTATTAAGATTATCCCATGAGATTTCACATACCACACAGCACTATCCAAAACCTATACGACCCTCCTGATTTTAAAATCTATGGAAGAAAGAGGGTACCACTATCTCAAACAAATCTATGAGTTAGGTATTAAGAGATTAGGTCAGATATTCCAAAACACAAACATAGGCAACATGCAACCACAACCATCCAGGTAGGAATTAACAAGCACCAGAAATTATTAAAAGAATTTCAAGTGACCTTACGTAACTAGATTCAGGCCAGTCCAACCTCAGACTTTCGAACCAAACTAGAATTAGTCTCCACCAAGTACCTGAAGGAGAACCACCAACATCCTCTGGTAGAAACCTGAAGTGTCACCCACCACGTCATCCTCCAGGCTGGAGCCATATTCTGTAACAAAATAATTTCATACTTATTTGCATCTTCTTTCAACTAGGAAAAAAAAAATCTGCCCTTAAATCAAATGAAAGAAACATAAAAGAAGAAATATACTGAGTTAACGTAAGTTCTCTCTACTTCATCTCTGAGTACTCTAAAGAACAAAGGGAAATGTTCTACGTGAGTGGTTAAGAGAAAGATGAATTAAGGGTTCCCAAAAGTACTCACCACAAGCTTAACTCATGACTCAACCATCTAGCGATACTCTGGAACAATGTAATTATTAATCTTTAAACACACAATAGTACTGGGAAGCTTCCTAAACACAATCAATCATAAGTTTAAACTTTGTTTTACTTCCTTTCAGATCTTTTACATGATAAGTATGCAAACATCTTCCATTTTCTAATATTCTAAATATTCTTTGTTTGGGCAGGCCACTCCTTCCTCTTCCTTTTAAGAGTAACTCTTAAAGAGAGCAATGATTCCTTAAAGTATGCCCCATCCTACATCTACGTCCAGCTGTTCAACATAAGGTCATGAGGAAGGGGAGCGCTGAGATCTACATGAGTCTACAAGTCCTTCTCAGACCCCTGCTATTAAAGGAAAGGAGTCACTACTTTAAGGTACTTACAAATGTAATTGCTATTTGAAAGCAAGTAAACTTTAAAAGACTAAAACTTCTATTTTAAAAGGCCCAGGACAGTTAAATGTTTATTTCAACCACTTTCAGAAATACAAAACCTTG